TTCAGCAGGGCCAAAGAGTAAATAATCTCATTCTGGTTAGATAAGGCCACTAAAAAGTTAGTTAGTTTGTTTATTTGTTTTCTGAATGGTGAAAATATCCTTGCTCACAATCTGTCCTCCACAAGCTCGTGTCCCTACATCTCCACACAGGTGGGAGAGGATTAGGTGGACCAAAGCTATTTTCTTGCATGAGTGTAAGGGCTATTAACTCTTCCATGCAGAGATGGGCTGAGACTGCCTTGACTCAGTGAGGCAATCTGAGCTTTAGCATCGCTGTGGACTATGTTTAAACACTGGAAAATGAACCTTCCTCCAGTCACGGAGGAGAAACCATCTTCATAAAAGACAAGATATGCTAGTGCTGGCGCAGCGAAAGCCGAAGCACATCAAGGTAAGATCAAGAGAAAAGGAGTTCAAGGCTGATTTCTATAATCCCTCCAGAGATTTTTTTTTTTTTATATAAATGCAACAGCATTCACACTTGGATGCATTAGTTAAAAGTAGCTTGTAGAAAGCCTATGAAACTAAATAAAAAAAAACTGTTGGGAAGCAAATAACATACCTGAAGTCCTTCTCTCACAGCTTCCAGAAGATATGGCACCAGGGAATAGTTCCAGAGGTCTGTGAACCACACTCTGGAGCCATCAACATCCATGGGGCAAGGGAGGAAGAGGCGGGGACCTGAGAAGTAGAGTTGTATATTAAAGAAGTAGAACTAGGGAGCACACTAAAAATAATCTTCACAGAATTAACAAAGTAGTATTGGAGCAAACTTGAGTGAAGAGAATGGTAATACAGGACTACAATAAGGGAGCTATCAGCCTCCTGTTATTAAAAATGAATGAGTGTCACTTTATCCAAGTCTAGGGCCTGATGAACACTTACAAGTTTTACAGGCATTCTATGTAAAAGAATGACTTCTTTGCTAGCATAGCTATTCCGCAAAAAGACTTCAGGTACATGTGTATCTCCCACCTGCTAGTTTGCTGAACTGACCATCCGAGTGTATTTATTGCTGTAATTATGCTGCAGTGTGAAAGCAGAAAAAAACTTAAGCTTAGGAAAGTTGCTATTTTTTGTAAAGTTAACTTTTAAAAATTTTGGTAATTTACTTGAAAGTTTTAGCAAGCAAGGCAGAATAATCAAGAAATATATACTCATTAAACTTCCCATTTTCATTTCCTTCTTGCTGGCAACCAGACAAATTCCCCACTCCGATGTCGTACTTCCCATTGAGAGATGACTTTTCTTAAAAAGATAATATATCCTTCACAAATCTCTAAAATACTCAGCCTGAGTCCTTATTTCAAACCATTCCACCAATGGACTCACCAATGGTTACATCTGAAGAGCTGTGCGTTTCTAGGAAGCTGTTGAGATGATGCCATGTTTTGGGGATCCAGTCAATGATTTTGATGAGCTCATTATTGCGTATGTTCTTTTCTATTTCAGTCTCAATCAGTTTCCTTCTCAGATATCTGCCCAAGAAACCTTTAACAGGCTCTGTGTGATTAGCACACAGCACCCACCTGGGTAGAAAGGATAAATGTCAAGCAGCAATGAATAGCAAATACATCATTTTCTCTTAAACATATAGATGAAGGTAATGTCACAAGCTTCTGAGTCTCGTTAGTCAGCAAGTATAAAATTGCTCCAATAAGCCACTTTATTGCCCACTGCTACAACACAATCATTACAGGTTTCAGCAGGAATTCAAGACACTGCTGAAGACAAATGGAATGCAAGGATGCAATCGTCTTCAGCAACTTGCTAGAGATACCAGAAAGCATTTTATTTCTTTCACCCTTCCCCCACACAGTTCAGAGGCCCATCAATACAGGAGAGACACAGAAACGAAAATACTTTGCTGTGATGAGACACAAGATCAATGTTTGTCAAAGAACTGGGCTGAGAAGCAGTGAGATGTGCAAACACGGCCACAGTAAATATAGAGCGAATGTACCTGAAATTGTGATGCAGCTCCAGATTTGGTGAAGAAGAAACTCCCTGGTTCATGGTTCCAATAATATAGGGACTGAAAGGAGAAAAGTAGTAGGTTTTTTTCAAGGGAGAATCATTCAGCTACCAGAAAATACTCTTTATTCTTATCTGCACTAGGCCAGCTTTAAGAGTCTCTGGATTTATTGTAGTCTTAGATTTAAAATATTTCTGAGATGCCCTTTTTAAAATGTTCGTTCTTGTATGATTTCCCTCTTTGCACATTTGTAGTTTACTAGTACTCATCTGTAACATAGAAATAAATGAGGCAATCCTGCCTTCACATACCTCACAATTTTGAAGTAGACTTAGAGTTTTAATTTCAGAAGCCCGTGAATCTCATGAGTACGACATAGCATGCAGTGATTTTATGAAGGGAATTCCCTATGATTGCATTTTTACAGCCGAAATAGCCAAGGTTATAGGCCAGTAAAAGTTCCAGAAGACATTATTTTTATTTTTGGCAATAAAGGACAGTTAACAAACTTCATACTTCTGCACTGCTACAGGACAACTGTAGGAAGTGCAAGTCTATCAGATATACAGCTGCTTCTGCATGGCATGGTTCGTGGGTTCACACATATCCCAAATTCCACTATTATAAAGTGCATTTCTTCTTACTCTCCCACAAGCTGTCCTCAAGGTACTAATGAGCTTAAGTGATCTGACAGGGTGAAAGGGATAAGACCCTAGTTCAGTCAAGCATTTAAGAACATTCTTAAATTCTGTGGTACATTTGCATCTCACAGAGATGCATGGAATTCATATAAATAAAGTGAAGCAGACAACTAAGCACTTGGTTGAAGAGGGTTAAAATTATTCGAGCACATAAGGGCTTTCCTGACAACCTATGGGAGTCTGTTTCCACTGAGACATCTTATTTTGCAAAATAACAAACAGTTTTTACTGTTTTAAATGCAAAAGGCACGTGAAAGGGGAGAGAAGAGCTACTACCTACCATTTATTATATTTACAGTTGAGGAAACCATTGAAGATGTCACTTAGTGAACTGATGTGGTGGAGGTTATCAAGAATTATGACCACAGGGAGGTCAGCACCATTGTTGTCAGCACTGCATTGCTCAGCTAGGTTTGCTAGGTACTGTCGCAGATCCTTCCGCAGAATTAACAAAAAAACCCAGAAAAGATTAACCCAGTTAGACCATAGATGTAATTTCAGCGGAAAAGCTATTTAGAAAGATAAAGAGGCTGCTACAGAGTTTCCCCACTGTGGATCATTCAGCTGGATCAGCACATGCAGGAAGATTTGCTTGTTAGATAGGGCAACATTGAAGCCACATGCTAGGAAAAACAAAGGCACTAAACATAAAGCAAGTGACTGAAGCGTACACATTCCTATTTGGTGGATATGTTCCTTAGAAACCTGCTGATAAAATATCTTATCTCCAGAGGAAAATAGGTTGCAATAAAATATGCCATTTCCAGTGGTCTGAGATACTCACCTTCATTGTTGGACCTCCATTCTTAGGAATGCAACATGTATATACATAAAAAACTCCATCAAATTATCACACAATTTAGGCATATTGAACTGCTCCTTCAGATATTTCCTTTCACCACTCTCACTGAAAATCTGTTTGACCTTTTGGGGATACTATATCACACGTCTTAATAAAATTTGTTGTGTATTTTTTTTTTTTTTCTACCAGCTATCTGTCTGGCTGCCATTTAGTGCTGGAGTAAAAGAGAGCTTTCTATAATCAAAACACTTCATATTTTTCTCAACACTTTGTTGCCCTTGAGGGTCTGGACTAGCCAAGTTTTGCAGCTATATCTCTAGAGGTATCTAATTTTGTCGGTGTTGAGAATGCTCGGTATTATGGACAAAGTTCCTATTGCGGTTTTACTTTCTGGATCAGGGATAGTAGAATCTTTTTTTCTTTAAAGGGAACATGCAATTTTTTTTTTATTTCAAGAAAGATTTATATTTGGCTTTTTACGATCAGGTGTCTCTAGGGGAACCTCATGCGTCTCTTCCATGGAATAGCACCATACGTATTATTCAAACACACTTAGTATTTGACAATGTTTTTTCCTTTTTTACTACAAACTAAAAAGTTCTATATAAATCTTAATAGAAACAACAGAAAAGGAAAAAGAAAACCAACCAACCCACCCAAACCCAAACCAAAACTACATACAACAAGCAATTTACCAGAAATCCAAAAGCTTGCTCTTTTGTGGGACAATTTTCATTATAAATGTATATGACGTAACAGTAAAACATAAACACATCCCCTCCCAAAGTAAATGGGATCATAAATCCTCTGTATAAAGACAGTGAAACGTGTTGTTTTTACTGCAATGGTCCTCTCACCTCTCTGTGATCTGTGTATTCTTCCTTCTTATATCATGTTAACATTCATTATGTTCTGTGCAAATCAGAAAGCTCTGAGCAAAGCCTTTCATTTTCTTTTCCCTGGGTACCCAGTTAGGAGTATACCCAATTTAGGACAGCAAGAGAATAGCATTATCTGTGGCTAGCACAGCAGTCATGCTAGAAGCTTGATAAACTGAGCTATGTAAATCCCTGTGAATGTGACATGATGCATGAAGTAATTTTAGCATGGTCAGCTTCCTGACCGATGCACGCCAGAAACGGTGGCAGCAGTTGTATTTATCTAGTGCTGCTTAAGAAGCTGAACCCAAGACAGTAATTCAAAATCCCCATTTTGAAATCTTTGCTAACAATAGGCTGCTATTATCACTATAAAAAAGCAAGTTAGACTAGTATTATTATATATACAACCTTTATGACAAAGGAATTACAGATACTCTAAGAATTGAATTTACAGGGGAATTTGATTCTTTGTCTATCCTTAAGGTTGCTTTCCTCAAGTGGAGGGAGAATTCAGACTTCTTTCACAGCACTCCAATGGTTTGTTTAGAGCAGAAAGATCTGTTCTCTGTTCCTCACTGGGGTTGGAGACTGAATTCTCATAGGAAAAAATGCCAACTAATCAACAAAACAGCATGCCAATTAATAGGATCTGCTCTGCATCATCACTACAATTTGGACAACAGATTATCTTTTCATTTGTAACTTACCTTGCTTGATTTGTGATCTATGTTAAAAGTTGCAATTGCATCCTCAGTTTTTTTTCTGCCAGATTTAGTTATAATATATTCAGCCAGCCTGTTAGCTAAATAGGTCTTTCCTGTGCCACTGGGTCCCGACAGAATAATTCTGCGATGCTCCATCAGTAAATTAAAGTACCGCTGGGTAATTGGCTTAGGAATTAATGTGTCAAACACAAAACTGTCCAAACTGTTTTCTTCCACTCCTGGGAACAAAAGAAAAGAAAAATGGCCTGTCTTCATCCTTGCTACGGTAGGTATAGGTTTGGCCCAGCACCTGATGGCATTGGTGCCATGCTCAAAGCAAGGTGCATTGGGTTTGTGCCGCAAGGTTTTGGTAGCAGGAGAGCTACTGGGGTGGTTTCTGTGAGGAAACTGCTAGAAGCTTCCCCTATGTCCAATAGAGTCAATGCCAGCCAGCTCCAAGATGGATCCGCCGCTGGCCAAGGCTGAGCCCATCAGCGATGGCTGTAGCGCCTCTGCAATAACATATTTAAGAAGGAGGAAAAAAAAACACCTGGGCTACAGCAACTGCAGCCGGAGAGAGGAGTGAGAATGTATGAGAGAAACAACTCTGCAGACACCAAGGTTAGTGAAGATGGAGCGGTAGGAGGTGCTCCGGGGCACAGATACCCCTGCAGCCCGTGGTGGGATGGCAGTGGCCCCCCTGCAGCCCATGGCGACTAACAGTGGAACAGAGATCCACCCACAGCCCATGGAGGACCCCTATGCTGGAGCAGGTGGATGCCCGAAGGAGGATGTGACCCTGTGGGAAGTCTGCACTGGGGCAGGCTGCTGGCAGAACTTGTGGCTCCATGGGGGACCCACACTGGAGCAGTCTGTTCCTGAAGGATTGCATGCCGTGGAAGGGACTTCCATTGGGGCAGTTCCTGAAGAACTGCAGCCCATGGGAAGGATTCACATTGGAGAAGTTAGTGGAATAGACCCCATGCTGGAGCAGGGGAGGAATGTAAGGAGTCCTCTCCCTGAGGAGGAAGAAGCAGCAAAACCAACATGTGACGACCTGACTGCAACCTCCATTCCCCGTCCCTCTGCGCTGCTGAGGGAGAGGACATAGAGAAATCAGGAGTTAATTTAAGCCGAGGGAAAACAGAGGAGTGGGAGGAAGGTGGTTTTTTAAGATTTGGTTTTATTTCTCATTATCCTGCTTAGATTTGATTGGTAATAAATTAAATTAATTGGTGAGTGATCTTCCTGTCTGTATCTTGACCCGTGAGCTTTTTGTTGTATTTTCTCTCCCCTCTTCAGCTGAGGAGAAGAGTGATTGGAAAGTGATTGGCAGCTTTGGTGGGCACCTGGTGTCCAGCCAGGGTCAATCCACCACACAAGGTAAGATACTTCTGCCTAAATCAAACTCTTATCAAGGACTTTGTTACTGTGGAAATGCTTGTATCCTTCCACAGGGTCAAAAAATTAAACAGTGATAGTGGGATGAGATGAGTGGGAGAGATTAAATCACAGTAAACGTGAAGAGAAGGCTCAGTGAAGCAAAGATGTATGTTTCAGATGCTACAGGCAACCATGACAAAAAAAAGGTCAAAGTGACAGCCAGAAGGGATACTGGTTGTCACATCAATGTATGTATAATTCTTCTGAAGGTCCGTCCCGCCCTCCAATAGCAAATCCCCATAGCTTTTGGAATGTATTGAATTTTTGCTGTGGAACTGGGTAAGGTAGTAATATTTCTCATAATAACCTCTGTTTCGGGATTGTTGGGTTTTTTGCCACTATTCAGAAATTTGTACTTTGCTGTGATTTGTCAGTCAGGCAGAGAAGGACGGAGATATTGTCAGATTTCTCTCAAAATGCCTCACTGCGTTAGGTATTGTACAATGTCATACAGAAAGTGTATGCGATAAATGAGTCTTTGAACTGGAGACAAAGTACAGAAAGGTCAGGGATAAGGAAAAAAAAAGATGGATTGGGAACTGCAGTGAAGAACTCTACGGTATCTGCAAAAATATTCTTGGGGTTTTACCCTTCAGGTTCACAGTGATGATGTTGTTATCTCCAACCAGGTATCCACAAGGCAGCAGTTCAGGCACTTCTAGGCTATGGGCTCTAATTACATCCCCTATGCAATAGCTAGCAATGCAGTCAGAGCTTAAACCCAGGCTAGTAGTTGGATCCACTCGGAAAATATATTCCTGAAATTATACAAAAACAGAAGACAAAAAAAAATAAAAATGGTTATTGAATGAAAGCAGTTTGGAAAATATTTTAATACAAGCGAAGTCATTTGACAAGGAGATTCTTGCAGTCACATTCAAGAGAGAAGTGCCGACAATCATGAAAAAGAAGAGCAACATTAAGAATAAAGTTTAATATTGGTGTTAGCTGTATGTCAAAAAACAGAGCAAAAGCTTGGCTAGACAACCCAAAGAATACAGAATTTTTCTTAAGTGAAAAAGAAAATGGAATTAATACTTGAGCTAATTTTTCACTGTCTTACCTTAAAGAGACGTCTGATTACACCATCTAAAACGTCCCATTTTGTTTTTCCGCTGACACCAATTGATCCAATCAGATATGCATGTGGTTTTTGATCCTGCAAAGACAGATTTTTGACAAATGGGCTAAAAATGGTGGTAATTAGTTTCTGTGAAGATTCATAATTTTCCCCATGAAGAAAACCAAGATTATTTAGAATGAGAAGTTACAACTGTGTTAATAATCTCTGTGCCAGAACTAGATATAGACAATACTACTTTAGTGCATCTTTTTAAAGAAGGAAATACAGTATCTTATTCTGCTTTTAGATTGTATCTGTATTTATAAAGAGCTAAATATAAAGAAAAGTTGCATTGTATTCATAGTTTTTTGTAATACAGAACATGAAAACCCGACCATGCAATTCCAAATTGATTGCCTCAGCAGCATATTCATAGTTGCACTCTACGGGTTCCAAGGCATAGATGTAATTTATAATGACTTTTACATGGAGATACCAAGTCCCAGAACATCTTACTACTAATTAAACTGAGAATTGGTAGTGTCTGAGCCACCACAAAAGCAGAAGGAGACCATATGACGTTAGTCTACAGAGGGTGCCTAACTGTACTGAGCATGAATGACAGAGAAGAGAGCTGCTATCTTTAGGATATTTCCCCTTGGTTCCTTGCTGAAAATACTGAAACAAGCTGAGCTACCATAGCACAGGATATGTCTGAGCTATTATTCTGCATCCAGACCTTTGGGTGATGAAACTTACCTTGACTCGACTATAGCCCTTGTTTATAGTGACTAAAATTTTCACACTATGACCTTCTTTGTGGAGTGCTCCATCAGTGACATCATCCAACAAAATATCTACAATAAATGAAGGGAAGGAAAGTGATCAACTGGACAAATCACATCAGTTAGGTTCACATTATCAGTTCAATATTTGTTCAAAGGTTTTTTCAATTAAAAAAAAAGGCTGCCATCACAACAACTTGCAATTGTTTTAATCTTTACTTATTCCTAATTCACCTTTTCTCTTGGAGATGAAAAAAAGTTACATTTTGTCAATTTTTGAAGCAATGTTAGGAGCTTTAATCATGTAGAAATGAATGGGGAAACCATAAATAAATAAATTATTGTATTATAGTGTTGCCTTTGTTTTTTTTCTTAGAACTTGTTCAAAATTACTGTATATGCGCAATGTAATGTTGTTTAAAATGTGAAGTAAGTTTATATCTTTGAGCACTCATTGTGTCCTTTAGAGTGCCGTAAGGAGAAAACCAACAAATCCTTGCACTGCAAAATAAAACATCATTTTAATTTATCTTTCCAGCTGATTTCTTTACTGTCTTTACATATACATGGCACAGTCTTTTTCCTCCCAATACAGGCTTGCAAACAGTATCCATTAGGAAAATCACGTTGTAGTCCTCCAGAATATGCGACTCTGTATTCAGCCATTCCCCTAAGAAAAGGTTTCATTTTTCTTGGAGGTAGAGAGTGATTCTGATCCGCTCTGTGCCTCTACTTCTACCTCCTCACTAACTCCTGAAATGAGAAAGCAGAAGGATGTATTTCTTACTGAAGGCTGAGCCTGCAGCTTTATTGCAACGGATAAAACTGCTGTCTTCCTCTAGAAGTTCTCTCAGAGATTTTACTGCTAGACATTTAAACTAACTATGAAATTAGGAGAGATTATGGATCTGCATTTTCTTCAAAGGCCAGCACAGTAATCCACTACGCTAATTCCTGCTCATTCTTATTGTGGTGATTGAAGTAAAGCATCGACTTCATGTCATAGTCTGTATAAGGTCAGATTTCACCCAAATTAAATGAGGTGCCAGTAAGATTCAGTCACTTGCTCAAAGGAAAACCAAAAAAGACTTACGAATAGTACTTCAATGAATGTATTAAAAAATAAGTCCTCATGTAACAAGTTTGACAGTTTACATCCTGATCTGTCGGGATTTTTTTAAAATGGATTGAATAAGGAAGCAATTTTGTTGTAAGCTTGAACGAATTTATGCTTGTTTTGTTCCCAGCAGCCAGATTTCCTGTACCACCAATATTAAATGTTTCACTTCACTTGTATTTCAGCATATTTGATAAACCCATTAAGAGTTCCCATAATGTCATAGTTCATCTGAGGGCAATTTACAATATATCTGATTCCCTGTGAAATTTTTCAATCCCTAAATGACCCTTACATAGCCTTTTAAACATATTTTTCTCTAAGTCTTTAGAAATGAGGCTAGAAATAAATTTCACTTTCTACTAAGAGCTCTCCCTCTCACTGACACAAGGGGATACAAGGGGCTAAGAAGAAGCCCAAGGGGGTCTAATTTCATGCTGGCGCTAATTGCTTTAATTACCTCCTGCCAGACCTCCTCCATAGGTGCACTATGGTGGCTCTGTCTCACTTCTTGTCTGAGCTCTGACACGCTTTTCATCAGTCTTGTACTGGTCCTTGTCTGCTGCTTTTTAATCCAGCGACTGAAATACAAAAGTCTATGGCCACCGAGCCCCTCCCCAGTTTGCTGCTCACACCTATCTGGAGGAGATGGTCGTACTCTTAGGAAGTGGCAATGGATAGCTTTGGTCATTTCCAGATGACCACTGATCATTTGAAGACACTGGTCTCCCAGAAAGTTCCACGGCATTTTTTAATATGATAAGCCAAAGCCCTTGTTATCTCTCTCAGCTTAGTCTCCAGCATGATTAACCTCTCTGTATCTCAGGGACTTTTGTTCAGTAACACTCCAGCTGCCACAGAAATCCCATGAAACTTGGGTGGAAGCTGTCACCCTTCCAAACTCTCTGGCACGGCAACAAAATGATACTCACAATGATCAAAAAGGCTGGATTCATAATCAAATAAAATCCTCCACACCTCATTAGGCACTCTTATTTCTTTAATTTCTTATAACCAAAAGTAATCACTTTGCATGCTAGAAAAACATTTAGAACCAATAACACAGAAAATTATGTAAAGCGTATATTATATTTATTCCTGTATCTAGGCAGACTTAGTGCCAAGCAACAAAGTGCTAATAGATGCTTTCATGAAAGAGATTCTACAATTACCATTTTGAAAAAAAATCTGTTCTGGTTTTTGCGTTTTTTTGTGTGCTTTTTTTTGTGTGTGTGTGTGTATGTGTATGTGTGAGCAGGAACCATAGTTTTTCTCTATGTTTTTCTCCCTGTTTTTGCAACACTTCATTGTATACCGAGGCCCAGCTCAGGCTCAACCATGCTAAAAGTTAAATCTGGCAAAAAAGTAGGCTGGAATGTAAATAAAAAATACACCGATATTCATATAAAACCTGATATTAACTAGAAGATATGTTCAAATATCCATGTAATCAATGACTGGCAAGATAGTACAACTAACTGTCAATCCAAATTTATAGTTAGGCAGTTTGGCATGTTCCCAGCTGTACTCTTGCCTAGACTCTTTCTACAATTATTAGCCACATTTTTATTGCTTCCAGAGACTGCATTATACTTTCTGTGGAGTCTACACTAATGAGCGCTGCTTTGCTTCTGCTCTGCTCCTGGTTCTAATGTTAGAGACAGCACTTCTATTTCTTGGCTACATTATCAAAACAAGTGTAGAAGGCTTATTGTCATGAGCTCTATGGCATGGAAAATAATCAAATGTTAATGTTTAGGATGCGGACCAAAATTCTGCTTGCTTTCTTTAATTCACAGAAGACAATAAGAGCACTTAATAAGCCAAGCGGTGTTTGGCTTCTGTGTTAAATGGCCACTTGGTCCAATAGGCTAACCAGCTATACCACATAAAAAAAATGTGAGGGATAAAGCTAACGGAGATCACCTTCAGCCCCAGCTGCAAATACAAAATGAAGTTAAAAGAGCTAACTGAATGGTAAAAGATCTGTAAACAAAAAAGAAAGTTTCATGCACTGTGCTCGTGTTTGTCCCATAGGGACACGAGAATATATCCACACAGTTGTCATGTACTACAATGGATATTGTCCTTTTCAAATAAATTGTAAGCTAGATGACCAAAGAGTAGTTAGATGGCCAATTAGGTAGGTAGTATCTAGCTAGAAACTAAGCAAACATAATGAACAATCTGTTACTATTATTCAGAAACTTCTAAAAGCTATATTTTAGCTTTTGAGGAAGACATTTTTTACAACGAGGGTGGTGAAACACTGGAATAGGCTGCCCAGAGGAGTTGTGGCTGCTCGGTCCCTAGAAGTGTTCCAGGCCAGGTTGGATGAGGCTTTGAGCAAACTGATCTAGTGGAGGATGTCCCGGCGAATGGCAGGGGGGTTGGAACTGGATGCTCTTTAAGGTCCCTTCCAACCCAAACCATTCCATGATTCTATGATTTTCAGAAATGACCATCAGCATTCTTCCTCACCTACATTAGTGAATATATGTCTGATGTTTACCTGAGTGCTATGAGGCATTTTAGTTTTCAGGTATGTCTGTCATATATGGCCCATTGAGGGGTGAAAATAAGAAATTCTTACTAATTGCTGAGGCATGCATGTGCCCAGAATATGTGTACCTGATGTAACAGATTCTGTGATGTTTAAATTGTTCAGAGAAAGTCCAAGTGACTGCCGTGATGAAGAAGATGATGTGCTGCTTGAAGACTCTGATGATGGCCGGGCAGGCTTTCCAGTATTTCCGGTCTCTGCCTTTAAACGATCATTTTCAGCTTTCAAGATCTCAATTTCATTCTGTATTTAAAAGAAATCAGCATAAAAGGTTATTCCTTCAGAAAACCACTGGGGGTGGCTGTGGCTATTCTGGTGTTTGCTGTTTGCTTGCAGGAGCTAACTTGTTTATCACTTTCACAGAAGTATGTAGCACTATATGTCAGAAGTATAGCCCTTTCAGTGAAAACTTGATTACCTTCACTTCTGAAATGAAGAGGGAAAACCCCTATAACCTTGTTTTATCTTTTGCCTCAAGACAGTTCCTAAACAACATAAGCTTCAAGCTTCTGTATTTATTGTACAGTTGACCATAGTACGAGTATGATGAGAACATTTTTATTGTCAAATACCTTAGGTAACAGTCAGTTAAGAAACTTATTGTTAAAATCTTAGTTATGTTAATATTTCTAAAGTAACAGAGCATTAGTACTGCCATTGAATGTAAAATTTAAGTAGTAACTTCACAGTGGAGAAAGGAAATAGAAAATGGACAATTAGACATTGATAGTTTAATGGTTTCATAACCCTTCTTGCTATCAGACAAGACTTTTTGATCATTCAAACATGGGATTGTTCACATAACAGCCAGCAAACCCTCTTTGATGCAAACATACAGTGACAGATGAATCAGAACAACTAGGAATTTTTTTAAGCTAAATCCTCTGTGGTGCCAAGTGATTATTGAATGTACAATAATAAAATGAAAACTTAGCCTGAGAACAGGCTGGTACCAGCTAAATCTAGCTTTCAGTCGTTTCACGAAGCACAGTACAAAGCAACTGCTTATTCTCGCAGACGGTTTTGCACATCAAATTTAATTCCACATTCATTAACACTCTGCTAAAAGTCCTATTCTTTTATGAAGGCTGTTCAGCTACTTTATACATGTGAAAACATAAGGGATAGCATCACAAAAAAAAACTGCAACAGCTACAAAGAGATTAGAACACATAGGCAAAGGTGAGGAGATTATGACAGGGAAGGGACAAACCAGCAAAACAGTGACAGCAGAAAATAGGTGAATGCACCATTTTGGCCTGGGGTTTAAATCAGGAGCTATGGTGAAATGACTCACGCAATCTCAATCTACTCTGCAAATTATACTGATTAATTACACGACTCTTCTCAGTCTTCCATTCAGATGAGTTTTAGATTTTTAAGGTGCTTTGAATACACACAGTATTCATATATCATTCACATCAGTTCTACTTTTTCCCTTTACCAATCCTCATCAATTCTCCAAAATATCACAGACTTTGGCAACTCCAAGGTGGTTGCCTCATCCTTTTAGGAAAACTTCAGAAGAAGTAATGATTACCAGGGACAGCATCTCAACTAGTCACCTCTTCCCAGCTTTGGTGAAGCTCAAACTTTGGATGCCTGTGACTACAGGAGACTCCTCTCTCTGGAGTTCAGCTGATTTAGGCACTCGTATCACAGTGTAAGACTGTAATCAACTGATAAATCTTCATGTCCTGTTCTTCATCATTGCAATTAACTGTATTCTATCCATTACAGTTCCTAAAAACTTTTTAGTGGCTCCAGATCATATAATCATATAGAATGATAGGATGATTGGGTTGGAAGGGACCTTAAACATCACCTAGTTCCAACCCCTCTGCCATGGGCAGGGACACTTTCCACTAGATCAGGTTTCTCAAAGCCTCATCCAACCTGGCTTTGAATACTTCCAGGGATGGGACATCCACAACTTCTCTGTGAAACCTGTTCCAGATCAAATGCTTTCCTTATGTCTGGACAATTGAAACCCATATTTATGAAACAGTTCTTGATTATTCTTCCCCCTAATTGAAATTCAGCCCAATATCCTACAGCAATGTTGGCACCTAGTGGTGTAAGCACCTGGGAGAATGACAGGTACCATAGACGTCTAAAGGTGTGGCTGAGACTGCTATAGGTATAATATAAACAAAAAGGTCTAGAAAACCCAGTCAAATCTGACAGTTATGAAATCAGCCGCTGTGGATATCTATTAAAAAAGGCCTGCAGACGCACCTGACCTAAGCACCTAGTAAAGAACAATTCAGCTGACACGTCACTGGGGCTGGATTCAGCTGTGTAAATGTGGGTTTCCAGAGTTACTCAAACACGATCTTCCATGGGCAGAATGCTAAATCTACACATCCTGGGCAGATGCAAATACCTGAGGATGGTTCAAATGGTAACAGGTACCTATGCTCAAAAATCTCAATTTTACCCTCTATACCTATTTTAGGATGATTTTAGGATAGCTCTCTAGGCCCCACTACTGCAGGACTAAAACTCAACAGACTACAAAAAGGAGTTTATCACCAAGCTCATACTTAGACATCTAAATGAGCTGTCCTAATCTCAACCTGAATCCCCATCCCATGGCCTTGATTACATTTCCCAAATACAGGTTTCTAATCCCTTCAGGGATATCCCAGGTATCTCACCTGTCATTCCAGAAGGGCCTAGATCTACTGAAGGACCTATGTCATACTGTGCAGATGCTGTTCACAGTTTTGGCACTCAACATGGCGTTAGACACTTGTATGTGGGTAACAGAGCCGAGTCCCATAAAGCTCCATGCTGCACTGAAGAACACTGCTATTCTTTCTGCATCATATCAGCCCCATGTAAGGGAAAGTCTGCTGATGAAAAATGTGTTCAGAAAGGATTTGGAGCAGTGTCACAAAATAACGTAGGGAAATTTCAGTGATGCTGGATACAATAATGTAGTTCCATTTTACATACTTTGCTTCAGCAAGCCACTGCTGGGTTAGGAATCAGAAATGATGAGAGAATATGTACCTATACCTCCACCTACCCCATGGCCCAAGAATTTAAAGCTCTGTAGAAATCACTTCTTGATTTGCTTGTCTGTCATGTTGCTTTCCTCAGTTACAGGGTGTAGATAACAAACATTCTTTGTGGAGGGATTATGTGTCCTTCCATATCTCAAACACATTTTAGCTATTAATATAAAGGCTAAGAATATAATTATTATTACTATTATTACGTGAATGCTTATCATACCCATCCTTTGGAAGTGCTGTCAAACTAGCAATTTCCTTTGTATCGACATTCTTTTGGCACCTGAAACAAAGCACTGGGAAAGGAAATACACCAGGCATACCTTTGGTGTGCACCCCTGTCATCACCTAAGCTACTGCACTGACCTGCATGCGGTTCATGGCTTCCCGAATCTGATCCAGATGGTGTGCAGAGCTGAGGGCTTCAAGACGAATGTCTGTTAATTTGAGCTCTTTCTCCCTCAGCTCGCTCTTTAGCTGAAGAATAATTTCAGCTTCTGCCTCTGTGCACTCACAGATCCTAAAGAGAAGAAGGAAACAGGCAGGAGATTACAGGAAGGTTCTCCCCCGAAAGCAATGTCATTACTACATATCAAAGTACAGAAAATGCTTGCTGATAGTGAAACCTATGAGTGAAGAAAGAATCTTAGCAAAGAAACATGAAAAGGCTCAAATTAGAAATTAAAAAGGAAAAAGCCCTCATCAGATGAAATGATCAGCTTCCTTTATACCTCTCCAGTTTAGTTAGATAGTTCACTACGGTGAAAAAAAATTGTTAAAAACTTTTCAGAAGTATTTTTTTTTGAGCATGTTACACCCATTGGTTATAATCTGATTTTATATTTGCATCATTTCTTTGGTGCACAGTTATGATTTTCCTAAGTAGCAGTAGTGAGAACTGAAGTACGCTGATTAAACTGCACTACTGATATTTATTATCCGTTAGGCACCAACAGTTCTCTCTGTTTTGAACAGTACCCAAAGAGAGAGTCCTTGACTTCATGATCTAGAAGATTTTTCATCTGTAATGGTTTTGATTTGTGATAGTTGACATTTTGCCTACAGTTTGCCATTTGGTAATGCATAGTGTCTGAAAAATAGCGTTTTATTTTTTTTTTCCTTTCTTAAAGACTAGATTAAAAGAAATCACCATGTGATTATTTTTTATAAGCATTCATTTTAAGACAAGAAACCATTATACTGTGAGAAAAGATCAAAACATGACTGGCCCAGGGATCCGCAACTGTCCAGTTCTCATGTCAGACTGTTTTGCCTCTCTGTGTCGTTATCAGACCTAGACCTGTTACGTAATAAAACCAGTAGAAAATAAAACAATGACTTTTGGCTATGTTGTTACACTAATATTTTCAGTGAATTCACTAAATGTTATTTGCTCTTTATTATTGTAACAATAAATAGTTAAAATTTGCAGAACATTTTAAATATGAAAAATTCTGTTATAATAAGTATTATTATTGTGATTATCACTACCAATATATAAACAAGAAACAGAAGTCAACTTTTAATTGCCAGAATGCATGCAGATGCATTTTGGGAAAGACGATGCAGCATTCTCCAGGTCAGCAGTTGTGTATACAACTCCATGCCCCACACCCAATTTTACCGGGATCTATGCTTGTAGACCACGTGACCATTTTGGCTTTTCTTTGGTGCGCAGACTAGAGATGACCTGCACACACATGTATTAGACAGATGCAGTTGGAAGAAAGTAAAGGTAATGGTTTAGAACATTAGACTCAGGTCAAGAAAATACGTAAAGAAAGTGTAAGCAAAGGGAAGATGAAGAAGTTCATGGCAAACAAAAAAATATGACAAATTGAAGAAGGAAAATAACGAATATCATTCATAACATGCACAAATATTTTAAATGTGAGTAAAAATGAGTAAAGGCATATACTAGGATTTTTTTTCCAACTATTATGATACAGTTCTTGATTTGATACGCCCATACCTATGCTAACCAAATAAGAAATGAAATTTTATTTACATACATATATTATCTCTTACAACAACTTGGATAACTGGGAAGTCATGTGTCTATTTGTTGGCTATTTTCTTTTTGGCTTTTTTACAGTACGTCTTGAGAACGGATGACAAAAAGACCTTGGCAAGCCAGCTTTAAAGATAAAAATGAAGCAGAAAGCGGAGCTACGGTTCTGGAAGAAGCAGGAAAAAGCTGTCTAGACTTGTATGATAAGCAGAATGAAAGTGGAAAGTATGAACTGCTTTTTTTTTTTCCCTCAGATTCCAGAGCTCTTCAGCACTCAGCTTCTACAACTGTAAAACTATGTAAGAAGATGAGACTTCATCAGAAGGAAGAAATAAAAAAATGTAATTTAGCGTTCCTGAGCAGTCACTGAAAGAAGCTCAGAAGCCTGATTGGACTTCAGACAAATGCTAAAAATAGTTAGAAAGACAGAGTTTTACTTTTTCCTTCTTGTTACTATCTCAGGATTTTTAAATCATTAGGTTGCTTTGGGTAGAAGTAGTAAGTCAGTCATGATCTTCGAACAGAGGCTGCTGACAATTATGAAAAGTCTTGAAGGTGACAGAAATTAAAATTATGCAATGGAAAACTGACTTTTCCAAAGAAAGAAACATTATCATTATAACAGACAAAGAAACTAATCTAAACAAATTTATTTTATGTGATCTCTCTGTGAAAGGGAAGGAATCTATTTTATCCTGTGTAGAAAGGTCACAATAACAAAAAATGCAATAATATGATCAGAAAGATCAGCGTTTAAAAATGTTATGGAGGAAGAACCAGTAGTCTGTGAACTGGACAGAATTTAGGAAGGTAAGGCTCAGAGACCAAATAGCCATGAGAAGAGCTTGGGATGAAAGATTAGATATGTAGTTTTTCCCTTGATAAACACTGGAAACAGCAGGACATCTAGAGAGCAAGTCAAAGAGACAGAGGAAAAAGCAGGGTTGGTAGAAGGGAAACAGGATAAGGTTATCGGAGCAGATCTGTGAATCATGAGTAAATAATTTTGTAGAATAAAAGTGTTTTGTTTAAGTTCAGGCTATTAAGACTGATTAAAAAACGTGTGGATTTGGTGTTGAGCAACACGGTTTAGGGACCCTGACAGTGCAGGGTGAATGGTTGGACTCGATGATCTTGAAGGTCTTTTCCAACCAGATGATTCTATGATTCTATGACTTTTACTAGTGATTTTTAAGTTGATAACAAAACAGATTCCAGGGTCCAAAACATGTAGAAATCCTCCTCCCAAAACACACATATACCTGAAACCATAACAATGTGAGCTTCCTATTAAAAAATCCAACAAAACTGGAGATCTAGATGAGTTATTCCTCACTAGTCTTTATGGAATGTGAGGAGAGAAAAACATTTATTGTGGAGGGGTTTCTTTTGTCGGAATATTTGCTGTCAAACTCCTATACTTAGTAAATAAAAATCATTAGTGTCTATAAAAAGTTAATCATAAAAGGCACCTAACTTAACGCAGGGAAATTCTATTCTAAAGCTCAGTAATCAGTCATGAGAAGAATTCCCGGGGTGCTTCAAGGAAGAGTAGTTGTGATGTGATTATTCTCAATTAGGACAAGGAAAGTAAGGCTAGCATCAGTAGTATGCATTTGTTCGTTTAAAGAAGTTGATTTCCCCAAATTGGAAAAAGTCGTGAGTTTAGCAGAATGGAAGAAAAATAGGTAGAATAATATGACTGAGAGCTGAGAATTCCATAAGAAGAATATATTAGACATCTAAAAAATAATGAAGAAATGGGACAGCATTTGACTGATGACTTGGTCTCAGTCCTGAAACCCTAAGGATAGTGAATTGAATAAAAAATAAAAGTAAAATTCCTCAAAAAAAGCCAGGCTGATAAAAGATGAGAAATAGATTTGAAAATATATAAATTAGTAGTTTCAAAGTAGTTAAAGTAATAACAGAAGGGATGAGTATCTTGTAAAAATTCATAGCTATCTGGAAAATAAAATGACATTTTTATTATGTCATGAAGAAAGAAAACTGTAGTATTTAGCCTTTACTAAGTGGATATGACAAATTTGTTAATGATGCAGGGAAAGTCCAACATGAGCTTTTGGATATGCATTAGGAAAGAAGTTTGCACTGCTAGATGATTTTAGGTAAAGGTTGGGAAAGGAGAGAATGACCTAAGAAAGAGCTGCTGGAGAAATAGTGTGTAATTGGGCTGAAGCTTGAAAGAAATCTGGCAAATGGATGGAGCACGAGATTAAAAGATCATGGCTGTTGGCAATGGTTTCTGAGCTGCAAATGGCCACACTTGAGGAGGTCTGTTTCACAGTCCATCCCATCTGGTAAGAAAGATTTGCCGAGAGAGAGACTTACGCAGATGCTGACTGTGATGGTTTCATTGATGTTGCCCCACACTCTCCTGAGCTGTGGGGCAGTTTGGGTGATGAAGGAAGAGAGGAGTCTGTCAGCTCTTCTATGTCTGAATGTGAGGAAGGAGGCTTGGTGGACTTCTTCTTTCCAAAGGCCTGTTTGAAAGAGCTTCTTAGCTGGAAAACAAATACAGAACAAGATTATTTTCCTTGTCATGGCAATTTGAGTGCAGCTCATGTTTCGAAGAGTTAGTTTGCAGATGCCATCCTAGCCACTGCCTGAGGTCAGTATACAGAAGCAAGGTATTAACATATGCAACACAGTATCTCTAAAAACATGATACAGTGCTTTGTTTTGACTTTATTAATCCAGCGCAGCGCAAACGTAATGCTATGGAAAAAGTGCAGGACCGAGTGGTACGGCTATGGGAGAGGAGTGCTCATTTAAAACCATTAAGCCCCAGTGGAATCCCATTCCCATGGCATTCCCTTCAAGGGCTGGCTTTAAATAATCACTTTGCATCTAGCAACACAGGCAGAACCTGCCATTACTACATGCTGAAATAAAAAACCACAAGTCCAATTTACTGGATTTGCCAATTTACTTTCCCCATTAAAAATTTGAATGGCCAAACTATGCAAATGCTATGGTTTGGATCACAAGCGAGAGGATTTAAGCTGGGGCATGAGGCTTGCTTGGTTGTACTGCTGAGAAGAATGTTAGCTGAAAGGTACGTATTCTTTGCTGCAGTTTTCTTTAGAATAGTAAGATCTCTGAACGTACAAGCATTGCCTTTTCCGTCTAGAAGCTCTTATCCAGTATTGAAAAGGGACAGAATAGCCAAAGAGCCATTTATTTCAGGAGCCGAGATGACACAAGTTTTGTCTGCAGTGAATTTTAACTAGCCCATTCGTTGATACCTTTGTCTAAATACAGAAGTTCTTCATCTTAGGAAAAATGTGGTTGGTTTTTGGTTTTATTTTCAGAAAGTTCTTCTGATTAAAATTGTATAGAACTCAAAGACAAGCTGATTCCTCTATAAAAAATGAGGTATTCAAATGTTTTATTTTCATGATATAATTGGAGAGTGGGGAGTGTGACCACGGATCAGAGGAACATTATTTAAGTCCTTTCCAGCTCATGATACCTAACGAGAAAGAAATGGATTTTGGCTACACTCCCCCTTTCTGTAGTCTAAACTTTGAGATTAAAATGAATAGAGACAAACTGAGAAGACATACAGGATAATCTGTTTTTAGAAGGTATAAAAGCCTACTGCCAAAATAAATAGCAATCATGCCAAGATAGGGTTCTTTATAGATGCATGCCAAATTTTCCATGGTTTATATTCACCTCACTTCCTCTAGAGTTCACCTTGCAGAAACATGAAAGA